AAACCGTGGGGAGTAACGACCAATGTTACACCACTTCTCCATGTTTTTCTCCAAATTGCATGAATAGCACACAGAAATTTTTTAAGGGATGAAAACCAGCAGCAGGATATCAGCAAAAAGGGCAAGACCTCTCTTGAGTCTTGCACAACATGGTTCTCATATATATATATATATATATATATATATATATATATATAATAAATTATGTTCTAGTGAACAGGAGAGTCCTGAATCCTGCTACACAGCCCTGCTGCACGTTGGTTTCTGATGTGAGAACAGAACCCAAGAGTTGGTTTTTTTGGGGCAGGATCTTCCACAGGATCTCCAGCTCCCACCAGGGCCACCTGCAGAAGGTGGCTGTGAATCACAATTCAGCTCCAGGAGATCACATTTCTCCCCGAGGTGTTTTCCCTGGAAGCTGCAACACCCAAATATCTCAAACTGCAGCTCCCTGGGAGGACAAACCCGAAGTGCCACCGATGCTCTGGTCCCTGGCACAGCAGGGTTTTGATGGACAGACACCCGAATTTGTGACCCTGCGAGCAAAACCCCAGCCGTGGGCATGGAGTCCTGGAATCCCCGAATCCCTGAGGCTGGAAAAGACCCCTGAGCCCCAGCTGTGCCCCATGCCCACCCTGGCCCAGCACCGAGTGCCACGTCCAGCCCTTCCTGGAGCACTCCAGGGACAAAGAGCTGGGAGCCTGGGAATTCCCGGCAGCGGCAGCACTGAGCCTTCCCCTCCTGCCCCGGTTTATTTTTCCCCATGAAGAGCTCCACAGTAATCCAGCGGGCAAAGACCATTTCTGGGATCACAAACGTGATGCTCAGAGCAGGAGAAAAGCAGGATGAGTGTGCTGCTGCCTTGTTTCGCGCCTTGGTTCCACCGGGTTTCGGGCTGCATCCCCACGGTTTTACAGCCTGGTGTAAAATGCACTCCCTGGGTTGAGGCAGAACTGTTTGGTTTTAGGATGAGGCAGAAATGGTTTTTTGAAGGCTTAATAAAGGATTTTTTTCAAAGCTGTTTTTGTGATTGGAATCATTCACAGGTCATTTTCCATTACTAAGAAAAAGCATGTGAAGTACTTGGAAATTTCTCAGAACTGCAAAGCAATAATCACCTTTGAGATAATGATTTTCTTTTTATGACACCAGTACCCTCTTGCTTTTAACATTTGCATTTTAATACCTCAGGAACAAAGACTTTCCCACATATTGTTCCAACAAAAAGCTGCTTCCCAGTCTAGCTTGTAATTTTTCAATCAAATTAATAACCCTTAAAGCACTTTTATTGCTGAGGGTATTTGAAGAGTTTAGTAAAAAGATAACTGCATTTTCTGTAACATTATGGGGAAAAAATTGCCACACGGATGTGAACTAACAAGTTTGGGGGTTTTTAAACTGATGGGTGACAGATAAAGGGTAAGTTCCGGCCAGCACCTGTGTGTTGCTGATTTGACAAGTATTTTATCCATGCAAGCAGATAAATATGAGCTTGGAACTTCTTCATTCTTCTCTAAATACACTCAGTTAATCTGAAACAGTGTTAGTGTGGCAGATCTCACTGCAGCTTCTCAGCAAAATAATGAGACAATTCAACACCTAAGTTATAATAATTATATTATTTATATTATACTATATTTATATTTATATATATGTATATATCTTTTTATATATATTTTATTTATATATTTATATAGACATATATCTATATATTTTATATTTATATTAATATTATTTGTATTATGTATATTTCTATATTTATATTATTATTTACATTACTAATTTATCTCCACTAACTCTTTGCAGGCAGGGTTTCATGGCCCCAGCTCGGAGCTGAAAGTGATGCTGTGTAAAAGGGGTAACAGCAAATCTTTTCTTCAGAATATGAAAACCTCTTCTCCTTTAGATATAAGCAACAGAAGCTCCTTGAACTAACAGCACATTAAATATTAGAAAGTGCTTAAACGCCTTGAGGCATCCAAATGCAGGACGCGGCACCTGGCCTTCTGTTTTGCCCCGTTTGTGTACAAACAGTTTAAATTGGTTTCCCGCTCGGTTTCCCGGGGTTTTTAAGGAAGACTTTTGGATGGCGGTGCTCTCCCGAGGAGCAGCGGGGCAGCAATTCCAGGCTCGTGCTGCCATCTGCGGTTCCGAGCTGGAAAGGGACGGGCAGGGACACCTTCCACCGGCCCGGGCTGCTCCAACCGGCCGGGAGCACTCCCAGCAATGGGGCAGCCACTTTTGCATTAAAAGAATTAAATCGTCATTTAAAACAAACAAAAAAAAAATCAATATTTTCCCTTTTTTTAATTTATTTTTTTCTTTCTTTCTTTCTTTTTTTTCTGTTAATAATGGAAAAGTCTCTTCTTGCTGTGGAAATCCTGTGATTTCCCAATTCCCGTTTCCAGATTCTGACACATCCTGGTCTTGTTTCCTTTGGTGGTGATTTGGGATTTTTCATGAACAGAGAGAACAAATTATTCGCTTTGGTTCTGATTGAAATCCCCAAAGCAGAAGACCCTTTCCTGTTGTCGTCTGCAGGCATTACAAATACAGACATTAAAAGGCAGGATCCAAGCAGGGATTCAGAAGGCAGCCCCAAAATTCATGGAAGCAAGGCAACTGATTGCCATCAGCCCCCCAATTTAAATCCTAGCTCTGCAAACAATTTCTGCACAATCCCAAACATTTGCATCCCAGCTTTCGTCTGGCACTCTGTGAGGCATCAGCAGAGCCCAGATGTGAAATCCCAGCCCTAACCCAGCTGGTTTTTCCAGCCCCGCAGGCAGAAGAGGATCAGCCCCAGCCCCACAAGCGGCCACAGGTCCCATTTCCCACGCAGGACACTGAGCTGCTCCTTTCCAATCCCAGCTGAAGCCTGGAGCCAAGAGCGGAGTTGGAATAAGCAGCAGAACCTGAGCAGTTGTGGGATCCCTAATTTTCCAGGCTGGAAGCCTGGATTTCTTCATCTGTGCACATCTCTCATCTCAGATGTGAGATTTGGCAATCTCTTCGCACCACTAAGTGCTGCTGTCATTTCCCATGAACTGCTCCCGAGTGTTCCAAGGAATACTCCTTCCTACACAGCCTCCAGAGCACTCAGCCCCCTCACCTCACCCAGCACCTGCTTGCTTTCAATAGGAATTACCCTTTGGGAAGCACTCAGGGCTGCACATCCCAGTATTTGGAGGCCAAAGCCCGGCATGTCCCGAAAGCTGAAGGAGCAGCGGGGAATCTCTCGGCCAGGAAGCGGCAGCAGCAGGCAGGACACGCTCCAGAGGCACCGGGACAAGCGCTGCCCTGCCCCGAACACCCCGCGGGCTCAGGGACACTTCCACTGTCCCAGGAGGCTCCAAGCCCTGCCCAGCCTGGGTGAGCATCCCTTGGGAGCATCCCGGAGCTGGGACACAGAGCAGCGGGACACGGTGCTCTGGGCCCCGCCTGGCCTGGGATGGAGCAGCAGCGGGAGCAGCTCGGAGCTCCGAGCAGCTCGGGACGAGGGCTTAGGAGGAGTCATTAGATGGTGCTCTTCTTCCATGGAATACCGCAGCGGGAGATTCCTGCCTCTCCCTTCCTGGGTATCCCCGTGTCCCTGCCGCTCTCCAGGCGTGTCGGGGCCCTTTGGGGTGTGTGCCTCACGCTGCCCTACAGCTGCACACTCTCCTCTTCCCCTGGGCCGCTGCCCCTGCCAAGCTCTGCCCTCCCAGCCCCAAATCCCCCCGTTCCGGGGGTCCTGGGGGATGCTCAGTGCACAGGAAGGAGCTGTGCAGCTGTAAAATATTAATAATATTTGTTTCCAGCTAATGATGCCTTCCTGCAGCCCTGCAGAGGCGGTGGAGCTGATGAGGTTTCCTCCCTCTGCAGTGGCAGCACAGCCCGGGGTCACTCGGGTGCAGAGCACGCTGGTGTGGCTGTCTCCTGCTCAGCCAAACGTTCCTGTGCTGCCAGAGCTAATAAAGGGGTTGTTTAATTATTCTGTAATGAGCTCGTGCACAGGAAGCAGATGATCCTCCCTTGGGAAACATCAGATCCCTCTGCCCAGCGTGTCCTGTGGGCTGTCCCATCCTCAGAGCCCAAGAAATGCCAGGAGGGGAAGGTCTGTGCCTTTCTCTGCCTCACCACCACCCTGAGAGGGGAAATATCCCACTCGGAGCTGGGATAGCCAGGAGTTTCTTGTGGCTTCTGGGATGGAAGGAGAGCAGGGAACTCACCAAAGGGCTCTCCCTCCATCCTTACATCCCCCTGGGCAGGACTCTGCAGCTCTCCTGCTCTCCAAGCTGCAGATCTATGAAATCCAGGTGAGAATTTGCCCTAGCAAAGCTCGCCTGTGTTTGTGCACCTGTCTGCTGTCAGAGCTGGGGTGCTCACCTGGAGAGAAGAAGGCTCCAGGGAGAGCTCAGAGCCCTGGCAGGGCCTGAAGGGGCTCCAGGAGAGCTGGAGAGGGACTGGGGACAGGGGATGGAGGGACAGGACACAGGGAATGGCTCCCACTGCCACAGGGCAGGGATGGATTTCCCTGCCTGTTTGTTAACTTCTCCAGTTCCTGTCTGGAAAAGCCACAGTGCTCAGAGCAAGAGACTGCTGGAGAGACCTTGAAAATAAATAGCCCGGGGTTAGATAAACAAAGTTTCCCTTTCCCAAATCCCAGGATTACACCAAGGCTTCAAAATGTACAGAAAACAAACCTGCAGATGAAGCAAAATGAACAAGAAAATGAACCCAAGGAAACTGCCCGGGAGGAATGGGACCCTTGCAGGGAGGAGAGAGGGGACTGGAGCCAGGGGATGAAGGGAAAGCCAAGCCCAGTTTGGACTGGGACTGGGAAAGCAGCTGGCAAAGCCCTGGCTCAGCAAACCGCACAGCTCCGTCCTTCTGGGACTGCAGCTTCGGGAAAACACAGAAATAAAAGAAACCCTACTGAAAGCGATTGCAAAAGTCGAGCGCGCTCCGGCTTTTAAAAGTGCCGGCGAAGCCCCACCTCCGGGCAGCCATCCCCACCTCCAGCGGCAGGAAAAGGAGCGAATGGCCCCGGCCGTGCTGCCAGAGGGAAGGGCTGGCTGGCTGGCGGGGGCAGCGCCGGGAGAGCCCCGGGACGGGCGGTGAGTACGGAGCGAGGACGGCTCCGCTGCCGGGAGGGCTCTGCCCAAGGTGAGCTGCTGGGAGCAGCTGGCGGAAAGCGAGGAGTGCCACCACCCCTGCTCCGTGCCAGCCTCTGCACGTGTGCTCTGTCGCTCCCTCTCTGCTGGTGCTTAGTTATTTGAGCGTCTTTTTTATCCCCAGTGAGGCAGCCCCGCTTATTTCTCCTGCTGCAGGGAATTTTCCCGTTTTCCCAGTGCTGTCCCGGATGGTTTCTCCCATGCTTTCACTTCTCCTATAAGGGCTCTTTGCAGCCCAGATGTTGGGAAGATGCCAGGCAGCGTGGGCTGACCTGTGCCTGGCTGCCAGAGGGAGCGTGGCCGAGCCAGACCTCTCCGGCAGGGAGGAGAACTGATCCTGCAGCCCCAGAGTCACGGAAGGCTCTGGGATCACTGCTGAGCTGCTCCTGCCCAGCTTTCCTTGGCTGCAGGGGTCTGGGAGCAGCAGGCTGCTGGGTTTCTGCTGGGTTTCTGCTGCCTCCTGCAAGCAGGGAGCTGCTGTGTCCCTTCCAGCCTTCGGGGTGGGTACATCCCCTGGGAGGCAGCCGTGGGAACAGCCTGTCCTCCCCGGAGCACGGATTTTAGGTTTGGGGTGAGGCTGGCCACACCTGCTGCCTCTGTCAGGTGGCAGCTGGGGTGTCCCTGCTGGGCATGGGGACAAGGGGACTGGTCTGCAGGGGTGGGGTGGGCACCTGCCCCTCCTGAGTGGGGCTGCTGCTCTGATTCCACCTCTGGAGATGGGTACCCAAGGGCAAGGATACCCCTGGAGGGCAGCTCCTGTGTCAGCAGGGAATGGCACTGCATGTCCCAAAAAACACTGGCTGCCCCTGGACCCCTGGCAGTGTTCCAGGCCAGGCTGGACACTGGGGTTTGGAGCAGCCCGGGACAGTGGGAGGTGTCCCTGCCATGGCAGGGGTGGCACTGGGTGGGCTTTAACCTCCCTGCAACCCAAACCCTCCTGTGATTGTTGAGCTGTGCAGCCCAAGCGAGGTTCTCCCCCCGCCTTGGAAGCACAGACACATCCAGAGCTCCTCCCTGCTTTGGCCAATTCCCTCAGAAAGCTCCTGAGGGGCTCCTGAGGAGCCCCTGGCCCCAAGGTGGCTGTGAGAGCCCTTTGCCTGCCAGCCCCCTGCTAGTTATTGTTGTGTGCTTGTTTTACAACACACTCTCCTTCCTCCTCGAGTCCCCTCCTGCTTTCCCAGTTTCCCAGTGTTTCCCAGCCATCCTGCTGGGCACAGGTGGCATTTCCAGGCTCTGCAATGCCTCACCCAAAGCCCCGAGCCCTGCAGGGCTGCTTGGCCTCCTCCCTTCCCTGCAGCAGCCCGGGGCTCTCTGGGGACCTTGGTCTGCTCACAGCTAGATCCCAGCCCCGGTTCCTCCGTGGCTCCTGGCTCCCAGTCTGCTCCCAGTGCTCCCCTGGGAATGCTGCTCTGTGGTGCTCTGCCCTGGACCTGCCACATGTGCCCTGGCTGGAGGTAGATTAAATATTGACTGTCTTGAGCCAGGATGTGGCTGAGTGTGGGTTTGGGGGAGCTCCATTCCCCCCTCAGCACCTGCCATTGGCACCCCAGCCTTTGGAAAGGTGATTTTCCAAGGAAGAGGAGGCTGAGTGTGGCTGAGTGTGGGTTTGGGGGAGCTCCATTCCCCCCTCAGCACCTGCCATTGGCACCCCAGCCTTTGGAAAGGTGATTTTCCAAGGAAGTGGAGGCAGCGTGGGAGGCAGAGCGGGCGGTGAGGGGAATTCCTGGCTTGAGACATGATTGGAACACCACAAGGCTCTGAGGCGCCATCCAGGGAAAACTGAGAGTGAGTGCGTGGCTGGAGAAACCCCAGGACAAGATCACGCCCAGGGATGCAGGAAAGGGCTTGCTGCTGTCAGGCAGCTCGGCTGGGCCAGCTGTGCCTCCAGCTGCAGGTCTGGGCACTCCAGAAGATAATCTCCATTTCCACTGGACTCTCTCAGTCTCTCCAAGTGTAACAGTGCAGTCCACCGGTGTTAAATAATGGAAGAAGGACACTGGGTGGTTCCCCCTGCTGCCCAAAATACCAGCGTTTCCTCCTTTTCCTGTGCCAGCTCCAGCCCCCACCAGCTGCTCTGGGCTGAGGCTTCACTCCAGCACTTGCTCCTTGTCCATCAGCACCCAGAAATGTCACCAGGTCTGTCCCACCCGCAGTGTTTCCTCTGCTGTTCACAGCCAGCTCCTCTCTTGCTGGCTAAGGAATTTTCTCACTTCTCCTAAGCTCTACTCAGTTCCCTTTCCTGGCAGCAGCATTTCTCTGCTCCTGCTCCTTCCTCCATCCATCCATCCATCCATCCATCCATCCATCCATCCATCCACCCATCCATCCATCCATCCACCCCTGCTGCTTGCAGGTGGCCAGCATCATTCCCACCTCCTGGTGAAGCAAGTTTTACTGGCCACCTCCAAAATTTGGGGATGTTCTGGTTGGTGATCCCTAGGTTAGAATGGAGGGGGTAAAGAGCTGCCCTTGGAAATAAATGTTCAGGATTGGGGTGCAGATGCTCCTCATGGAATACTTGGTGTGAGGAGCAGGTCTGTGGTCCTGGGCAGACCATGAGTGCAGATGGAGGATCTGGGTTTGTTGGGACTTTTTTTGTCCCAGATAATAAATAGCAAACAAGTTCTGGTTTGCTCCAGGAGGTCTCAGCTCCAGGGAGCTGCTGGGGTTTCCACTCAGGATGTGTTTGAGGCACAGGGCCATTGCAGAGGCTCTTGCTCCTTGTTTTGCAACAGCTTCCCCTTCAAAAAGTTCATTTTTCTCACCAGAGGTCTCTGTGTCCCTGGAGCCACTCTGGCTCTGCCCGTTTCCTCCAGCTGCTCCTTGCACTCCAAACTCTCACAGCGTTCAGGGGAACTCAGCAGAAAATCTGTGTTTTTCTCAGTTTTCACTCCTGTCCAAGCAACAGTGAAGTACAGAGGGGAAAAAACATCAGGAAGGTATTTATGGTGTGTGAACCCCAAATGGGGGAAGCTGTGGTTTGGGATCACTTCCCTTCAGGCTTCTCTTGGCAGGTGTTTGTGCATAGAGCCAAGCACTGCCTGCAGCCTGTGGAAGAGGAGATTCCTGATGGAATCAGGCTCTTCGTCCTTCCTTCAGCACTTTAACTCCCAGCCAGGGGCTGGAGCTGCTTGAGGCAGGAAGAGTTTCCCTGCCAGACACAGAGGAGGGGGTGCTAAAATAGAAGAACCCACCGAGGACACATGACAAGGCTTTCCTGCAGCACAGCCACGTCTGTCCCTCCCAGGCCAGGGGCTGGCTGTGCAGCACGTGCCTCCTTCCAGAACACAGGGGTGACTTTTGTACTCAAAATACTGCATAAAACCATGGAGGGAAGGAGCAAAGCTGGGAGATCCCGGTTTGGAGAGCAGCCCTAGGAGGAGGATTTGGGGCTGCTGGTGGCTGACAGGCTGGACATGAACCAGCCCAGAAACTCTCAACTCTGGGCTGATCCCCCAGCCTGGGCAGCAGGTGAGGGGGTGTTCTGCCCTGAGCCCAGGTGAGACCCCAGCCCTGGGGACACAGCAGCAGCACCTGGAGCTGCTGCAGAGAGCCCAGAGGAGGCCCCGGAGCTGCTGCAGGGCTGGAGCCAGGCTGGGAGAGCTGGGGGCGCTCACCTGGAGAGGAGAAGGCTCCAGGGAGAGCTCAGAGCCCTGGCAGGGCCTGAAGGGGCTCCAGGAGAGCTGGAGAGGGACTGGGGCCAAGGCATGGAGGGACAGGACACAGGGAATGGCTCACACTGCAGGGATGAATGGGATATTAGGAAGGAATTCCTGGCTGTGAGGGTGGGCAGGCCCTGGCACAGGGTGCCCAGAGCAGCTGTGGCTGCCGCATCCACAGCAGTGACACAAGAGTCCCCATCTCTGGTTTGGTGCTGCCAGGTGAGCTCCAGCTCATTCCCCACATCCTGCAGGGCTGGAGCCGGTGGGGATCCTCCAGGAAGGGCTCCAGCCCTGGCAGGGAGTGCCAGGGAGAGGCAGGGAGCTCTGGGGGACCTCAGCTCACACTTGGGGAGCAGAGTTTCATCACTCCCAAAGCAGAGGGGTACCAGGGTGGGGCTGGAGCCTCTCCCTCATTGCCTGTCATGTGTTTCAACACCAGTTTTCCTTTTTCCTCTAATTTTTAACCTCCAGTAACGTTTTCCTCTTCTAACTTCTTGTAATTTTCTGTCATCTGTGGCCCATTTCTCATTACACAGAGTCACTGAGCTGGGCCCATCTAATTTTCACTTTCTTTTTGCCGCATGGTGCAAGACCGAAACAGCTCTCGGGCACATCTCTGCATCCCTTTTTTTTCCCTGTCTTTTTCCATGCCGTGTATCCACTGCCTTTCCCTTCTGTTGTGTTATAAAGCATCTTTGCACCCACATTTTCTGGGCCAGCTTCCCCTTTACCCCAGGCACGCTCATAAATACACACCCTGACACCCTTCCAGCCTCGCTGACAGGGAGGCAAAATTGTTCAGCAGAAGGAAGACAGATTCCAGAATATTTGCTGGCATTTCGTTCCCCTGCTGGGGTTTAATTTGCTGTGTTACATTGGCTGTTATTTACTCACGCTCTGCTGAGCCCAGCGTGTGCCTCTCCTTGCTCGGCCAAGGGGAGCAGCTGGTGATGAAGGCTTTGGGTGGAGAAACGGCCTTGGGAATGGGACAGGGTGCTGAGCACCCAGCCCAGGCCCTGCTGGCACAGCCAGCACCGTGGTGCAGCTCCCACACTGGGTTTGGGGCATTTCTCCTGCCCTGGTGTCAGAGAAGAGGCAGCCTGGGGGCAAGTGGAGCATCTTAATTAGTGCTGCAAATGGTTTGGGAGATTGTCTCAGATCTAGGCAGTGACAGGGGAAAGGCTTCCCACTGCCCGAGGGCAGGGTTGGGTGGGATCTGGGGAAGGAATTCCTCCCTGTGGCTACCCCTGGATCCCTGGAAGTGTCCAAGGCCAGGCTGGATGGGGCTTGGAACAGTGGAAGGTGACCCTGCCATGGCAGGGGTGGCACTGGGTGAGTTTTAAGGTCCCTCCTGACCCAAGGGATTCTCTGCCCAGATGGGGGTTATCCCCAGCCTGCAGCTCCCTGCAGTCACTGTCCCCTGGGAGCAGGGAGGCTGGGATTCCTGGCAGAATTTCAGTGACATCGCTTGATGCGAGACTGAGCTCAGCTCCCTGTGCTGCTGCACCCGGGGATTGCCATGCCTGGCCTTTCTGAGGGATGCAGTGACCCAGCACAGAAGTGGGAAGAAAACTGGGCTTTGAAGACAAATCCTGCACCTGTGGCTGAAGGAACAACAGCAGCTGATGGATCTGCAACACTCTGAACAACCATCCATCCATCCATCCATCCATCCATCCATCCATCCATCCTTTTATTTTATTTTTTTTCAATCAGTTAAGTCTTATCTCCCTTTTTATTTGATGTCCTCTCTGCTGGATCAAAGTACTTTTCTGTTTAGTTTCCTTCCTAAGGGAGGGCTGGGTGAGATGGGCGGGATCTGAGGGCAGGGGTTTATCCTCACTTTGATCTGCTGGCAAACCCTGCGGTGTTTGAGAACTCTGCTGACCCCCACCTGCCCTCCCTCCTCCACACATTTGAAGGAGAGCGTGGAAAGGATGACAGGGTGCTGCTGCAGGTCTAATGAGGGACAAAGTCATTAACACGTTAACCAGGACATGGAGCCTGCTTCCAGCCCCGGAGCACTCCCATCCCTGGCAATCCAGGCTCCTTTGGGTTTCCTGCCTTTGGTGTTCCACCCTTTTTGTCCCCCTGAGCAGCAGCAAGCCCAGGGCTGTCAATAATTCATCGGGGCTGGAGCCAGGCAGGTGCTGAGCCCTCCAGGGGCCGGGGAGGTTCTCCTGCCCGCTTCCATTTACGATCAAATCCGCTGTATTGATCCCATCCTGGATTTGTTACAGCAATATCTCTCGGAATGGGCTGAGGGCAGCAGCTGCTTGTTGCAGAGGCTGCTGTGGCGCTCGGAGCTCACGCAGGTCCCGTCTGGAATTCACCTCTCGGGGTTTATAAACGCCACAGTGAAGGCAAACTCCTCCTGCTAGAAGTTACATCAACCCCTGCATTTGTTAATTTGTTTGAGCCTGCGGGGCCTCGCTCCTTTGCTTCTCATCATGGGGGAAATAGAATTGCGCACGATAATAATGGGGAAGCCTTTCACCCCATTTGCTGCGGTGATGAAAACATCTATTAGAATGTGCTGAACAACAAGTTAAAGCCTAATGGCTCTAACGTGCCTCCGAACAATGCAGCTTCCTGAGCAGGAAGCCTGGCTGCTGAAACCCAACAAAGACATCGCGGTCCCCAGGGAGGAGCGGAGCGAGGAGGGAAGGAGGCTGCGGGCAGGCAGGGGCTGCGGGCTTCCCAGGGGCTGGAATTTCTCTGCATGGGCGCGTTTAGGGGATGGCCGGGGGTCCGAGGGCGAGGTGGAGATGCAGAAACGCCGCGGGTGACCGGGGGGCACAGGGAAGCAGGGCTCTAATCCAGCACAGCGAGGCATGGGAAGGGCTGGCTGAGCCCCCGTGCTGGCCCCCAGGGAGGCAGGGCTGGGTCCTGGGCAGGGCAGGGCCAGCACCTGGCATCCCCTTGAGCTTCTGGGCTTCTGCAGCCCGTGGGATCCCTCTGGAAACCCATTCCTGCGGCTCACTGCCACCCTTGGGTTCCCATTTCTCCAGGCAGAGAGCTGCGGAGCCTCTGGATGGCAGCACAGCCGCCAGCTTTGCCAGCTGCCCTCCCGGTGCTTGCTGCCAGCTGCGAGGGTGCCCCATCACCCAGGCCGCGGAGAAGGGCGTCGCACCGACCCCAGAAATGTTGCACAATATTGTCCTCGGCTCTGCTGAGCAGCGTTTCACCTCCCAGGCCTCTGGGCTTTGACATTTTGCACGCTGCTTCGTTGCTGTGCAGAATTAAAGAGCTCCGAGCAAAGGAAAGCCAGGAACAATTAGTGATGGCTTGAGAGGCCGTGTGCCTGCTGTGGGGGTGTCTGCAGAGCCCGACAGGGTTTTTCCTGCCGAGCAGGGGGGAATGGGACCCCTGAGCGTTGTGCTGAGTGGTTTATCTCTGCCAGGCTGACAGAATGACAAGGAGCAGCCAGGGGGACGTGGCCCGGAACGCGCTCTGCAGGAGCCCCTTTCTCAGCGTCAAGGTAAGCACCCCTGCTTTCTGCAGCACCCCGGGGCCCCCTGGCCTGGCAACAGCAGCTCAGCCTCCTGCAGAAGGCACTGGGAGGATTTACGGGCACCAGGTGCGTTTGGGAGATGCTCCCTGTGTTTCCCGTGGCACAGGTGCCTTTGGTGTGGAGTTGTGTCCATTCCAAATCCAGTGGAGCAGAGATGTTTCACTGCAGGTTTAAATCCCAGCTCCTCCAGAGAATCACAGGATGGGATGGCTTGGAGGGACCTCAAAGCCCATCCAGTGCCACCCCTGCCATGGCAGGACAATTCCACTGTCCCAGGCTGCTCCAAGCCCCAATGTCCAGCCTGGCCTTGGGCACTGCCAGGGATCCAGGGGCAGCCACAGCTGCTCTGGGCACTCTGGCAGTTGTGCCAGGGAATAATTCCTTCCCAAGAGCCCATCTAGCCCGGCTTTGTCAGTGTGAAGCTTTTCTTCTAAGTCTTGGGTCCTCCTGGGTTCGGTGCAAGCCCAGGCCCGGCAGGTGAGGGTTTGAGGAGCTCTGCAGAACCACAGGCTGCACCTGGAATGGTTCCCTGTGTCTCACAACATCTGCCTCGTTCCCTTCTGGCTCGATAATTCCTTGTTATCAGTAGTGGCAGCAGCCTAACACCAGTGCATTACTACATTCAGGGTATTGTAAGACAATTACCTGGCTCATTAGGGAACCTCACCAGGCCAGAGAGCACAAGATGACAGTCGGTCTTAAAGGCTCAAGATTTCTCTGTCCCTTTTGCGGGCAAGATTTGGGGTTTTGAGGGTTTTTCTACAAATGCTGGTGCATTTAATCACCCTTCTCAGTGTGGCAGGAGGAGAGTGAGTCACTGAGGCAGAGGTTAGCAGAGCTTCCACAGTGGTTGGAGACACAGAGCCATGGCCTGAGGCTCTTCCCCAATCCTCTTTCACCCCAATCCTCATTCAGCTGGTTTTTATGTGGTGGGCTTTGTTTCTTCTTTACTCCCCAGAAATATGATCCTGCTGATTTTAACTTGAGGAGATGTTTTAAAGGGATTCAAAGATTAAACCATTGAGGGGCAAAGCCAGCTGAGCCTGTGAGCAAATCAAGCTGTATTTTGCTGTATCTGTGAAGGTAGATCCTAAAATCCCAGACTGGTTTGGGTTGGGGGGCACCTTAAAGACCCTCTTGTTGCAGCCCCTGGCACGGGCAGATGTGGAGGAAGCTCTTGTCACCAAGAACACAATTATCCTCAGCACAGGATGTTTTCCCCTTATCTCTTGGGGGTTTTTTTCAAGAAGTTAGGCCACCCTGTCCGGTTTCTAAATGACTTCCTCAGAAAACAAACCTTCCAGCCCAGGGTTTGAATGGCTCTTGCAGAGACACAGAACCATTGCACAATGTGGTTGGATGTGTTTGAAGTGGCTGAAGGACCAAAAATCACAGCACTGCAGTTTTTATGGGTATTTATATCTCCAGAGAGCGTGTCACAAAAACCATGGACCGCATGTCAAAACGCAGCTGAGGGACACAACTGAGAACTGCCCTGTTTGGCTTCAAGGAGCACTGTGATTTAGATGGGAAGGAATTGTTCCCTGGGAGGGTGGGGAGGCCCTGGCACAGGGTGTCCAGAGAAGCTGTGGATCCCTGGCAGTGCCCAGGGCCAGGCTGGATGGGACTTGCAGCCACCTGGGACAGTGGGAGGTGTCCCTGCCGTGGCAGGGGTGGCACTGGATGGGGTTTCAGCCCCCTCCCAGCTGCAAGCCCAGCCAAACTGGTTCCAGCTGTTTCCTCCCAGAGCCCTTTGCCACAAGCAGAGCCCGGTGTGCCTGTGTCACGTGCTGAGGCACAAAGCCCTCTCTGCAAACAGGCTCCAGAATCCCCCAGGCGCGTGGAGGGAGCGTGCTGGGGACATGTCAGCGGGGCAGCACGGCGTGGGGAGCCCCCACGGGACAGGCTGCTGCCAAGCTGCCCCATCCACACTGCAGACATCACACAGGCAGCCCTTGGAAAAGGGCTTTTTGCAGACCACCAGGAGAGGAATGACTGGTGTTTCATTGCCAGGTCTGTGATGTACTGGCTGCTTAGGATGGAGGGGGTTTCTCTGTTCCCTCGCACGTGCGGGGTGGGAGCAGCAGTACCTCGCCAGTGTTTGGGTTCTCTGAGTTGTTTAATTCCATGGCTCTAGAGGGAAGGTTTTGCAAGCACAGCCCAGCCCTGGGGCTGCTCCTGGTGTGCATGGCCTGTCCTGCTGCCAGGGAAAAGGTCTTGGGAAAAGCCTGGTGTCTGCCAATCCAGGTGACCTGCTGGGGCAGCACATCAGTCCCACCAGGCCAGCAGAGCCAAAGGCCAGGAAAAGCTTGCTCTTTCTTTTCCTGACAAAAAATTGATGTCTGAGAGCAAAGAGCCCCTGGAGCAGGACTGGGGTCCTTGCCCAAGCCGCTGCAGGTCCTCTCCTAAAATACCTGATGCCCAATGCATTTTGAGCTGCAGAGGATGTGAGGCAGTGCTGGGCAGCTGCTGAGCTGCTGTAAACCCCTGAAGTTCCAGGATTTGGATACTCAGGGGGCTGTGTGCTGTGGATGCTGGAATAAACAGATCTGATTTCAGCCTTTCCCTCTGAAGTGATGTGTTCAGGAAGCAGAGCCTGGACACAGCCAGTGACTTGGAGGAATGTAGCAGTTTTAGCAAAGCTGACTCTGGGGACGCTTTCCACTGGCTGGGTGACATTTTCCCAGTCCAGACACGTTGCCCCCACCAGTGGTGACGTGAGCCTGGAAGGGGGAAGGTGCTGGATGCTGTTCTGGTGTGCACCATGCCAGCTCATCATTCGGGAGGTGGTGACCTCAGCCCAGCCCTGCATTCCCAGGGGCTTTGACCTTCCCCCTTTCTGTGCTGGGGATGTTGCCTTGGCTGACAGAGCAGGCCACTTTGGCAGTGAGCTCACTTGAGGCTTGGATCAGAACGAGATGTAGCAGAAATCCAGGCCAGGCTCAGCAGTTTCTCCGTGGTGGGAGCTGCTTCCAAACACACGGAGCAGGAGCAGCGCCCCGAGGGTTTGGGCACCAGCCCAGGCTGAGGGCAGCAGCTCTGGAAGGAGCAAGGGCATCCAGCCTGTCCCACAGGGAGATGGGAGGGCTGTGTGCTGAGGGTGTGTGACTGTTTGGGCTGGCTGTCTGAGCTCCTCTGGGGGCTGGAGGGGTGCCTGGGAGAGCCACAAGGCAGCAGGAGGGAGGTGGCTCACATGGAGGAGGGAGGATGGAGACGAGGGCAGATTATTTTCTAGGAGATGGTGGACTTTGACAAGGTTTCCTTCTGGAATTGGAGGAGAACCATCACATTTTCCAAAGGAGATGTGTGTTACATCTAGGGCTCTGTGGGAAGGAAAGGAAAGCAGCCCGAATTCTTCTCCCTGACCTGCTGACTTTCTCTAGAGGAGTTGTTTGTTGGTGTGTTTGGAAGGGCTCATTCCTGTCCCAGAAGAGCTCCCAGCACTGGGGATGGCTGCCTGCCTCTGGCTGAATGGGAACAGCAGTGTTGTGCAACCTCCCTTGTGCTGCTGCATCCGAGGGACGGGGCCAACACAAACAGGGATCATCCCGACTGAAGGCATGTGTTTGTCCAAAGCCACTTCTCAGCTGAAGAAATTGCAGCCTCCTCACAGACACTGACCCTGCTGTGACTCTTGGCAGAGGCCAGTTTCATGCTTCTGACCTAATCTCAGAAGATCTCGCTGGTGGCGGAGCAGGGGTGATATTTCCAAGGCTTGTGGTCAGAGGTTTAAGTTGGATAATGGTGCCTTTCTGAGGGGGGTGCAGTTTGTTGTGCTGCAGCTGTCACTGACCCTGCAGCTCTGGGTGACCCTGCAGCTCTCAGTGACCCTGCAGCTCTGGTGACCCTGCAGCTCTGGGTGACCCTGCAGGTCTCACTGACCCTGCAGCTCTCAGTGACCCTGCAGCTCTGGGTGACCCTGCAGTTCTGGGTGACCCTGCAGTTCTGGGTGACCCTGCAGCTCTCTGGTGACCCTGCAGCTCTGGGGACCCTGCAGCTCTGGGTGACCCTGCAGCTCTCAGTGACCCTGCAGGTCTCAGTGACCCTGCAGCTCTGAGTGACCCTGCAGCTCTGGTGACCCTGCATCTCTGGGTGACCCTGCAGCTCTGGGTGACCCTGCAGCTCTCAGTGACCCTGCAGCTCTCACTGACACTTTGGGGGTTCCGTTTCTGTGTTGGCAGTTCTTTGTGTTCTGCCACGGGCTGCTGCAGCTCTCCCAGCTCCTGGTCTCTGGCTACCTGAAGAGCTCCATCTCCACCATCGAGAGACGCTATGGCCTCTCCAGCCAGACCTCGGGGCTGCTGGCCTCCTTCAACGAGGTGAGCGGGCTCCAGCCTGTCCCTGTCGCTGTCCCTGTCACTGTCCCTGTCCCTGTCGCTGTCCCTGACGCTGTCCCGTGCTGCCCTGCCCTCGGGACACACTGCTGTCTGTCCCTGCAGGTTGGGAACACGCTGCTGATCGTCTTTGTCAGCTACCTGGGCAGCCGCGTGCACCGGCCGCGCCTCATCGGCTGCGGGGCCCTGCTGGTGTCCCTGGCCGGCTTCCTGATGGCCCTGCCCCACTTCCTCACGGGGCCCTACGAGTACGACCGCTCCGTGGCCAGTGAGTGCTCCACAAAGCTGCCCTGCGCCTCTGGGGACGCAAGGAGCAAACTGCAGAGTGACAGGCTGCTTCGGGTGGGAAAGACCTCAAAGATCATCCCGTTCCACCTTCCACCATCCTCCAGCCTGGCCTTGGACACTGCCAGGGATCCAGGGGCAGCCGCAGCTTCCCTAGGGAGTCACCCTCACAGGGAACAATTCCACAGTTCCTTCCCAATATCCCCCCTATCCCTGCCCCCTGGCAGCGGGAAGCTGTTGTGAAATGGCCTTTCCTCCAGGCACTGGGAGCTGCATGCTGTTGGCTTCTCCTTGAGAAATTTTGTTTTTCTGAGAATGAAATCATCTCAACCCTGAGAGGCAACAGCTACTGGTGGAAAGCAGAACCAGGGGGATGTGGGAACCGTGGAACCATGGGAAAGGGAAGGAAAACAATCAAAACACAGGCTGTGCCTCTGATTCCTCTTGTTTGCTGCACATCCAACCTCACCTGCCTTCCCTGGTCTAGCTGGGCTGTCTTTGAGGTTTTAGACCCCACCAGAATATCAGCCTCCCTTGAGATACATGCAGGTCTAAATCCCTCATGTAGGGAACAGGACAGGGTGGGTTTGGGATCTTGTTCCCAAAGGAAAATGAAGGGATGAGAAAGGAAAGAAAGGAGAAAACAAGCTACTTGCTACCTTCCCAATTCCTGCCGTGAAGCTCCAGCAAACCTTCTGGAAGCCTCCACTGGACAGCTTTTGTTTGGCAGCCGTGCCTGGGGTTATAAGGAAGATGAGGGTGCTAGAATCAGCCCTTTCACTCAGGCAGCTTTTCTGAGGAAAATGAGCTCTCATTTTCTGGGTAACTGCTCACAAAATCTGCAGGTTTGCTCAGTTACCTGTATTGGGCTGCTCCATCAAAGGTCCTGGGAGTGACCTCAGCTCCACTTCCTTGATGGAGGAAAAGCCTTGAAGGCTTTCCGGGCTCATGACCCCGTCTCTGTGAACACCAGTGCAGTGATCTTTGCACCTTCTTTGTGTTTTCTTTCACCTGTTTTCTTCCATCTAAGGATAAGATAAGGATGTGGAGCTGCTGGAGCAAATCCAGAACTGGGGGTGTTCTCCTGGAGAAGGCTCCAGGGAGAGCTCAGAGCCCCTTCCAGGGCCTGAAGAAAGAAGTTCTTTCTGCAGACCCAGGGCCTGAAGAAAGAAGTTCTTTCTGCAGACCCAGCTCCTCAGACCTGTCCCCTTGTCACCTCAGGCACCTCCAGCAACACCACGGACCTGTGCCAGCCCGGGGCGCCGGGGGCCTGGGCCAACCTGAGCGATGCCAGCTGCACCCCCCACGCCTCCAGGGAGAACCACGAGGTTCTCCTGGTGATGTTCGTGGCCCAGGCCCTGCTGGGCATCGGCGGCGTGCCCATCCAGCCCTTCGGTATCTCCTACATCGACGACTTCGCCAGCGAGAGGAACTCCCCCCTCTACCTGGGTGAGGCTGGTCCTTGGCGCGGGGAGAAGGCAGGCTGGAGCTGGCAGCAAGGCCAGACTGCGCTAATTTGCGTTAATGAGAGCAGGGTTCGTTACGGCCCTTGTGCTCTGCCCACGGCCGGGAAGGATTCTGCAGAGAGAGTTCATCTGCTTCGGGCTTGGGCAGGCAGCAGGAGAGCTGGGAAACACCACCGGGGCAGAAGCTGAGGTTTTGGCCTGAGAGTGACAAAAACTGGAGTTAAATACCATGTCCTCCTCCAAAGAGGCTTCGGGAAGGACTGGAGGAGCAGTCTGTTCTCTCTGTTCACCAGTGGCAGCTGTGGGTCTAAGGGACAGCTGTGGGGACTCTGTTTAGCTGTCGGCAAAGCCAAACAAACCAAAGAAAGCAGTTTCAGCCACCTGGGAGGTGGGAGGGGTGCTGGAGAACAGCTGGGGCACAGGCCCACAGGGGTGTCCCAGGTGGTGGCATGGACAAGGTGGTCCTTGCAGGTCCTTCCAGTCCTTTCCTGGCTGTTACCTGTGACAGCCTTGAACTGAATGGAGCAGCAAAGGTAGATCAAAACCATTACTGCTGAAAAAAGGAAGCACGGCATCAAATTTTGCTCTGGTAGATGATCCAAACCTCTCACATGTAAGGTAGGAGTTGAATCTTACATGTGTGGATTTCTTTTATCAGTAATTCACAGAGAAGTGTTCACTGATAAGTTTTATCTCCTTCACCTTGTAAAACTTGGTGTTCCCTGGATTACTGATGCCAAAGGGCACCTCTTGTTCCTGGGAGTACTGCAGTCCTTCCAGGAGGCTGAAGACGAGTGTCAGGAAAGGTCTGAGCTGTGCCAAAGGGAATTCCATGTGGGAAAGGAATATGGAGAGCAAGGGAAATAGGAAAGCTGCCAGGGAAAGGGCTGGTGCAGCAGAGCCTGCTCCCACCCTGAGGCACCCCGTGGTCCCTTCCCAGGCTGAGCCCTCACTGCTCTCGTGCCCACAGGAATCCTGTTCTCCCTGACGGTGGTTGGGCCGGGGGTGGCCTTCATGCTGGGCTCTGCCATGCTCAGGTTCTACGTGGACGTGGACAAAGTCAGCTCAGGTGAGGCCGCATGTCCTGGCAGAGCTGCTGGAGCAGGGGGCTCCCAGCCTCGGGGGGCTTCCCTGCCCCGTGCCTGCCAGTGGGCATCCAGCACATCCCTGTGCCAGCTGTCTCCATCCAAAGGGCTCTTTGGACGCCCTGGGGACGGCGATGAAATGGGGAAGAGACGATGAAACGTGATTTAGTGGTGGGATGACGGCGGCAAACTGGGCTGCTCAGGCCCCGGCGCTGACATCCCACCACCTTGGGGTGACTGATGCCTGGGCGCCCTGGGGTGCCTGCCGTGTCCCAGCCCTGGTCTGATGCCCCTCTCCTCTCGTCTTGCAGCTGAGGTGCAGCTCACCAACAAGGACCCGCGCTGGGTCGGGGCCTGGTGGCTCGGCTTCCTGGTGGCCGCCAGCCTGGTGGCCCTGTGCGCCCTGCCATACTTCTTCTTCCCGCGGGAAATGCCCAAAGAGGTAGGAGAGGTTCTGCACACACACACACACACACACACCTCGGTGGGGCCGAAATGGCACGGGAACCACAGCCACTGACAGTTCTGTTCCTTGGGGAGGGGAGGATGCACTCCCAGATCCTCATGTTTACGAGAGGCTTGCCAGGGGAGGCAGAGGGTGGCCGGCTTTGTCTGTGCTGGCAGCTTTTGTCTGGGAGCAGCGCTGAACTTTGGAGGTGGAGTTGGAATTCCATCAGTGGGCTCCTGGCAGGCGAGGACAGCTCTTCTCCAGCAGAGCTGGGGAGCAGGGCAGGGAGTGTCTGGGCAGTGCAGAGCAGAGCTGCTCCCCAGGAATGTCTGAGCTGTGCAGAGCAGCACGGCAGAACGAGCTGTGCTGGCAGAGGAGGTGTTTCTGAGGCTGGGATGTCACTGGAGCTGCTGGGACATGCTCAGGAGGTGAAGCTGTGCTGCTCTCAGTGTCCTGGCCGGGCTGGAAGCGGTGTCAGTGCCCTCCACATGTGCTGTATCTCGAGGCAGCATCGAAAGCTCCCTGTCTGAACAAGTCTGTGCACCCGTGCAGAGCAATCCTTCATTTCTCCTGACGCTGCCTGAATTTCCACAGGAATCAGTGGAGACTGGGGGTTCCCCGACCTGTTTGGCCAGCTCAGCCTGGGGATGCAGTGATTTACTGCTGGCTGAGGTGAGCTGTGAGGAGCTGTGAGGTGATGGGGTGCTCTGTGCATGGCAGGACGGGGGGTGACCCCCAAATGCAGCGTGCCCGATCGCTCCTCCCGCAGCCTGGGCTGCTCTGAAGCCTTGGGGAGGGTCTGTGCTAGCGGGCTCTAGGCTCATCTCAGGGAAAAGTTCTTCATTAGGCTGATGGGAATATTAATTTCATAAACGCCTCTTGAGAGAAGATAATGCACTTCCAGCTAAAACAGCTGCACTTTCTGGCAAGTGCTGCACTCTGAGCAGTTTGGAAGGGTTTAAGGGGGAACAGGCTATTGATTTTAAAAAGAGCAGGAAGATTTCATCCTGCTCTGCTGGCTGGGATCTGTAGGATACACTTCCACATGGCTGAGCACCCACGTGTCCCTCTGCAGCCTGTGAATTTCTTGAATTCTTGGATTTCTCCCCATTTTTGCATCTCACTCAGCAAGCTCTTGGAATCTGCTGACAGTTAATAACAGGAAAATACAGTAAATAGCCCGATTCTGCCCTCCTTGCAGAATGGGAGGCACCAGGGCCACCCTGTCCCCTGGGGGTATCAGCACCAGCAAGGGGCCCTGCCTAAAAAAATTCAAATAAAAACCTCTGCAGAAAGCTTGCCACGTGCTGCTCTGGGTAACGCACGAGCTGTAGGAGCTCACATTCCAGGATGTGCTGGAAATGGATGTTTTGCTGTGTGTGTGCACTGCACACACACATCCCCTCGGGCACAGCCGAGGTGCTCCTGCAGCCCCAGCTGGGGTCTCACTTGTGGCCAGCCTCCTCAGGGGGTGCAGCAAACCCGGGGTGTCTCTGAGCCCTCTGTGCCCTTGGAGGCTGATCTGCCTCCTCCCACCAGCCAAGGCACAGCTACACTTTTTATTCCACAGCCTGGCTGCAGCTTCACCTTTTTTTGATGAATTCTTTCTTTGAAGTTCCTCGTGTTAACATTAGTGATAGTGTGGGGCTGCTCTTTTGATCTTTTCCTCGTAAATTAGTCGCTCCAAACCCAGAACATTTTTACTTCTCTGCTTTGCTGCTTGTCAGTAGGTTTCTAGCACCGAAGTATCCTGAGTAATCCTGTTGAGGGCTGATCATGGCAAAGCCATGAGGTTGTCATGAAATCAGGAAGGGGATGAGAGGATGAGCTCTTACACAGGAAGAACCGTTTTCAGTCAAGAACAGCTTTTTTTCCCCAGTAATTCCAGTTCAATCCTGCCTCCATGGGCCCAAACCATTCCCTGGAGTTGTGTCCTGGATTGTGGGGAGCTTCCAGCACTCTCCAGTTGCTGTGTGGCCGTAGTTTAGCTCATGCTTTGCCATCTGCTGGTGTTGCTGCATCCCAAGGCAGGCAGCAGTGTTGTCACAATATTCCAATAGTCCTGGCACCCAGGCTCTGCCTGTCCTGCAGCTCTGACACAAAAAGGGACTGAAAGGGGTAAAGCTGCTCTCAGAGACAAAAGCTGCTCTCAGACACTTCCAGGGATCCAGGGAGAGCCACAGCTTCTCTGGGCACCCTGTGCCAGGGCCTCAGTACCCTCAGAGGGAGCAATTCCTTCCCAAAATCCCAGCTAGCCCTGCCCTCCTTCCTCTTAAAGTCATTGCCCCTTGTCCTGTCCCTCCCTGTCCAGCTGCCCCAGGCCCCCATCAGGTGCTGCAGATGGAGGTCCTTCTCTGGAACAAGGTACTGGGATGCTCTGGGTGCCTCATTAAAGCTCCAAAAGCACCACCAGAGGCAGCCCAGGAGCACAGGGAACAAAGGAGGAGCAAAGAGGGCCAAGTGGCAGGACAGGCTACAGGGATCCTGCTCTCTACAGCTGGATTTTCCCCAGGGAGCCTTAAAGGCAGGCACAAACAGCAGCTAAAAATAATCCTCCCTTTTGGTGGGAGCAAGGTGCCCCTCAGCTGGTTATTCTAACACTCCTGGAAACAGGGTCCCTGGAGGGACCACACCTGCTGGAGGAGGCATAATGAAGTGTTTGTAGCGAGCCTGACCTTGTCAAAAGGAAAATAATCCTTTCCCAAGCCATGAGGCTTTACACTTTGTTTGTCTAATATGAAAATAACTTCTCTGACCTTACTTTTCAGCGAGCTGGGAGTGCCAGGTTCTGTTCACAGCCAGAGGGGAACTCTGCAGAAACCTCAAAATAAACAAAGAAAACCTCTCTGTCACAGAGCAGGTCATTTATCCCTGTTTCCAGGGGTGTATTTGGATCCAGCCAGCCTGCTGGCACCTCTGGCTGCCCTTCTCACAGGTGCAGGAGCAGGTGGGGAGAGCAGGGGCTGCCAGGGAAAGCTGCTTTCATTTTCCTTTCCTGCAGAGCCCTGCTCAGCCATGCCCGGATTTATTCAGTCTGTGCAGGGAGATGAGGGATTTCCCCAGGCCAAGGTCAGGCTGGGGATGCTCTTCCTGATCCAGAGTGTGTGGGAGCTTCATTCTCCTTCCCCAAAAGCTGTCTGCCTCCCCCAGCCCCCTGAGGGTGGGAGCGATGCCAGTGGACCCACGGAATCACAGCATGGCTTGGGTTGCAGGGACCCTAAAGCCACCCCTGCCATGGCAGGGACACCTCCCACTGTCCCAGGGACACCTCCCACTGTCCCAGGGTGCTCCAAGCCCCAGTGCCCAACCTGGACACTTCAGGGACCCAGGGGAAGCTAAAAATGCAGATAAAATCTCATTGCAAAACCATGAGATGCAATGAGTGGCACCGAGGAACTGAGTCCTTTAAGGATTCATCCCAGAAAATCCGTGTGTGGGGGCATTTTGCAAGCTGAGTTTGTTTCTCCTTGGCATGATGCTGGAGCAGGGATGAGCAGCCAGCTCGTGTTACTGCACCTTCCAGCTCCAGCTTGACAAAATTCTGCTGTGACAATGCCAAAATCCCCCGTGGCGGAGGCACAGCATCCTCCTCAGGGCTTGGGCATCTCTGATGGTGCAGCCAGCACCATTCCAGCACCATTCCAGCACCATTCCAGCATCATCCACAGCAAGCAGGCAGGATTCCTGCTTTTCCTTCTGCCCGTGCTTTCCTTCAGCCCACAGGAATGTATTTCCTGATCCTTTCAGGCAGCAAAAAACCATGCCAGGGCCAAGGCAGCACAGGGAGAGGAGCTTTCCCCCTCTGAGAGGGCTTTGCTCCACGTGCACGCAGCTGAGCCACGGAAACATGCCCTGCAAGGGTCACACACAGGGGGGATTTGGGGGGAGCTGGGGTTTTGTCTGGACGTGCAGGCTGTTGACTCTCAGAAGTACAAACAGCTGGAAGCTGAGAAAGCCACAGGCAGGAGCAGCTTGAATGTATTTTTGGAAAGTGCTGCAGTTCCAGAGCAGAGAAGAGCCCCTGTAACGCAATTGAAAAGTGAAAGGGGTTTTATCTTTGCATTTGAAAAATGTACGAAAGCCTGAGCTCCAGCAGTTCAAAACAGGAAAGGAGTTTCATTGCTTTTGCCCTTAAAAAGGGCACGTGGCAGCCCCAGCACAGACACTGTGACCTCGCTGTGGTTAATGAGCGCTCCCATTGCAGAGCAGAGGAGGTGATTCCAGCCCGAGAGCTGCCCGTTTCCTCCTGTCCATTACAGTCTCTAATTGCTGCTGGATGAGCTCGTTTGTCCAGCCCAGGTCAGGGCTGCTGAGCTGATGGGGTGGCAGAGCTGTAAAGGCTCTGTGGCCTCCCCTGAAACCACGCTGCCCCGAGCCCTGCCTGCCGCTCCACGGGCACAGCGCACATCTCCAGCCAGTGCCCCTGCTCCTGTGGCTCCCCCGGGAGGCTGCAGATCCTGCAGGGGATGCAGAGCACGTCCCAGAAATGCTCCTTTGGCTTTCTGGCGCCCTGGGGTGCTGGACACCCCAAGTGGAGCTGCCTTGGACCTTCCCTGTCCGAGCCCTCCAGGGCTGGGGACCGCACCCTGCCCTGGGCAGCCTCTTGCCTTAGGAGGTGACCAACACTTTGCCTCCATCCCCGACCCCCTCCTTGCCTGGATACATTTCCCTCTTACAATTGCTGCCTCTTTCCTGCCCAGCAGCTTGTGAGGGAGCACAGAGACACGGGGACCTGCTCACCCTCCATCCAAAGCTGTGCTGGTGGGGATCCAGGTGTGTCCCTCCTTGGGTGCCTGTGCCCACACACAGGGCTAGAACAAGCTCTGGGGTGGAACAGCATCCCCCTAGGGGTATCCAGCAAAGGCTGGCACCTCCTGAGTTTGGCACCTCCTTTCCCTGCAGAGGTTGGCCCCTCCTGAGTCTGTGTGAGCTGAGCACACGGTGTGCTCTGCCTGGGGAGTGGCACGGCCTGATACGGATGGAGTGTGCTCCAGCACTGCCAGGAGAGGTGGGAAAGCTCCTCTGCAGCTTGGGAATGTGTCTGGGTGCTGTCAGCCCCGCCGGAAAGCCGGTGGTGTGGGCAGGGAGCACAGCAGGACTCGGACAGGGATGGCCATCCTGGGCTGCTCTGTGTCAGGGCTTGGGAGAGAAAAGGCCAGGGCAGGGGAAGCTGTGGCATGACGTGTGCAGTGACAGCCTCTGGTGTGTCCCCAGGTGCTGAGAGGGAAGGACAGAGGCAGCAAGAAGAGGGAGAACATGCTGAGCCAGCTCAGGCCGAGGTCCCAGCACACGGAGAGCCTCTCCCTGGCGGAGTTCATCAGACGTAAGTGTGCCAACACAGACAGCAGCTCCCTGCTGGTACACACACACAGCCAGGCTGGGCCGTGCCAGGGCTGCAGTGCTGCCAGGGAGCAGGGATGTTCCCCCTGTGCTCAGCCAGCTCCTGCATCAGCCCTTGAGACGCACCTTGGGCTCAGTGTGGGGTTTAAGCCCTGTGCTCCCTGCCCACACTGCCCTGCTGCACCTCCTGCCAGCCACAGCACCCGGCCTTGGTCACTCTGAGTGCCACATTCCTTCCCTGGCAGTGTCCCAGGCCAGGCTGGATGGGGCTTGGAGCAGCCTGGCACAGTGGAAGGTGTCCCTGCCATGGCAGGGGGTAGGAATGGGATGGGCTTCAAGGCTCCTTCCAACCCAAATCCTTCTGTGGCTCTGTGATTTATGGCTTATGTGGGCAGTAGGAATCAGAGGCCAAAACCTCACCAGAGCCCAAACCCAGGCAGGAAGGAGGCTGCTAGCTGTGGGGCTGGAGCAGAGCTGTGGGAAGGGACAGAGCCCTTGCGTCAGAGGGGCTTGGGGGCTGCTCTTGCTCAGTCCTCAGGCCATGGAATCAGGAATCAGTCCCACAGCAGCACTGGTGACTTCTCATCCCCAAGAAACCTCATCAGACTCCCTCCTGCGAGGCTGGAGGTGCTGTCCAAGGCAGGCTGACCTCCTGTCCCACCGAGAACAGCCGGCGCTGCCTGGGGCCGGGGTCTGGGCAGTCAAAACCCAGAGGGAGATCTGAATCCAGTGCAATTAAATTGTTTGGAAATGAGTGGGCTCTTTATGCTGAAGGGGATCAGCTGGGCTTCAGTCTGTGGAAGCATCTGCTAATGGTTGGGATGTTTGGGTTTTTTTAAATAACTCTGCACTTTGGCAACTACTTAAGAAAAGTGGCTCTCTGAAGTCACTCCGTGTCAGCTTCCTCCATATTTCCCAAACATTATCCCGTTAATTTATGGCAAGTTCTCCGTGTTCTGAAGGTCAGTGCGGGGCAGGCACAGCCAGGCAGGCGTGGGCAGGCTTTTCTCCCGCTGGTGGCAGCGATGGCTCGTCAGCCTAATGCTCAATTAGAGGAGGCAGCCGGGGGTTTCTTCCCCCCCTGACCTTGTGGCACTGTCATTTAGAAACCTGTGTGACGGGAGCGCTGCGTGGGAGCAGACTGATGGTGCTCAGATGGGATTTTCACACCGGCGCTCTGCTCTGTGCCTCCGAAACACGAATCAAAATGAGCTCGCTGCTCCCGGCTGCGGAGAGCAGGAAATGTCTCACTCTGCTCCAGCTGCAGCTCTGGTTCGGGGCTGGAGGCGGTGCTGCCGTGGCAGGGCTGTGCTAATAAATCCGTTATTTCTCAGAATTTATCCCCCAAAGCCCAGTTCTGAAATAAATGAAGTGTCTGCTTTATGTCAGGAGAGCAGTCTTGCTGAAATGGCCAGGATCTCTAACACAAAACTCTGTTTAGAGCCAGGAATGGGGTGGCAGGTAGTGTCTGATGGTTACCTGGGGCAATTTGGGTGAAGCCTAAGGACTTCAGGGCTGGCTCATCTGCAAGTCACTGGAAAGAGAATTTCCTTCCCATTTCACCAGTCTCCTGCTGGTTTTGTTTCCTCTCTCTGTTTCTCTTTTCACTGTTATTTTCTACATGATAATTTATGAAAGCAGCATTTGGAGATGAGATTCTCCAGCCTGAATCTCCTTGGAAGTGCCCCAGGCTAGGCTGGACAGGGCTGGAGCAGCCTGGGACAGGGGAAGGTGTCCCTGCCATGGCAGGGGGTGGCACTGGGTGGGCTGTAAGGTCCCTCCCAACCCAAACCATGACTGAGGAGAAGGAAAGGCTTTTTGCTTTGGGGATACCCAGAGAGCAGAGTGACTCTGTGGCAATTTCTGTGTCCTGCAAGCAGAGCTAGGGCAGCTTGGAGCCCGTCCATCCCACGAGGTGCTCCTGGGAGCCCCCGAACTTCCCTGGTGTGAGGGGCAGGTGCAGAGCCCTGGAGGGGCTGGGCAGGGAGGGCTTTTCCAGCCCAGCAGCAGCACCAGGATGGGCTGTGCACAGGGTAAGGGTCAGGCTCTGGGGACACTCCAGCACTGAGGTCACTCAGCCCAGCATGGAGCTGGCTCCTCTGTCTGGACTCAGACTGGGCAGTGATCTTGGCTCTGGCACAGACACTCTGCGTGACACCAGCTCGCACCCTGCTCCTCACACTCACAAATTCCTCCCAAACTCCTCCTGCTGCAGGCATCGGGTCTTCCTGCAGTAATGGAAAAGTAGGATTTAGCTTGCCTGAAGTCATTTCCATTGCTAATTTCCAGGCTTCTGTTGAAAACACCTGGGAGGATGTGCAGATTCTGGTGCACACACTGGGAATTAGCCCATTAAAGGTGATCTTCAAAGCAATTGGAACGCTGCACTCGTGACTCGTTTGTTTCTCTTACGGTCCCTAAAGGCAGTTTCAAGGATATTTTCTGTTTATTCTTTTAAAGTTTCCACTTGTTTTTCCTGTCTGCCCAGCTGCTTCTCTGGAGGTGCAAGGAGGATTCATTTAGGAATTGCAGAGGATGGAAATCTTGCAGCTCCCACCATGAAGTGGGGACCTGCTCAGCTTTTCACCTCCAATCTGAGGTGTGTGGTTTGATTGGAAAGACCAGAGAAATCCAGGGAAAAGGACTTTTTGATGGAAGATCCCCAAAAAAGGCGGGATTGGCTCTCAGGAGATTTTTCAGCCAGCAAGCTGAGGTTTCATATCTGCAACATGGCTGAGAAATTCCAGGAATACTCTTCAAAAATCAGGACCTTTAGTGGTACTTAGGAGCAAAACCATCTCCCCCCTTGGGTTCACAGTGGCGAAATGCAGCTCCTTCCCTCTGTGCTGACTGCCAGCCTCCAGAGGGTCAGTATTCCAGGGTCCCTGGCCATGCTTTCTGTGCCTGGCCCCCTCTAAGGATCTGCTTTTGCAGCTCCCTACGATTCCGGCTGCTTGCCTGACCTGCGGGTACAGCTGGAAGAGCGATGCTGCCATGAAGGGGAGTTCCACCTTTGGACATGGGCGACCCCACTGCACCCTCAGAGGGTCCTTTTGCCCTTCACAGAAGATTCAGGACAGCCAAAATCCATCCCCATCTGGGGCCAGCTCCCAGACAAGCCCCAGGGAGATCTCCCCAGCGCCGCTGCGCTGGAGCAGACAGAAAGATTGCCCCACTTGTTTGTCAGCTGCTAAAAATTAACACCGTTAATTTATGGCGGTCCTCTGCATTAATCCTCGCTGTTAATTCCTTATCTCTGCTCCAGCATATTGGCTGCCCAAGCCCTCGTCTGGGAGGCTCATCAGCAGTTTGTTTGGAAGTTGCCCTTTGCGTGCCAGCCCGAGCAGGGGAGGGCGGTGGGGGAGCAGAAAGTGGCTTTGGGACGTGCAGGAAGGGGACATTGCTCCAGGAGGGACAGGGGCAGCTCCCAGCTGGCAGCATGGGGCACCCTGAGCCCCTGGCAGCAGGGGCTGCCTGTGCTGGGCAGGCTGCAGACCTCTCCTGCTCGAGGGTTCAGCCCTAGGGCAGTTTGCTGGAGTGTTCCTTGCCTGTAATCAAAAAACGCATTTTTCATCGTTTCATTTTTTCATTGAAACGAAAAGGACACTGAAACTGCTACCGCAGCAAACAAATAAATTAACTTTTAATGACTTCCCATCTACTTTTCTATTTGTTTTAGCAGAAGCTCTGCCAGAAAGCTGCAAGGAAGGGGGTGGAACGAGATGAGTCCTTTCCAAGCCAAACTCTTCTGTGGTTCCCTGATCAATATTTTGCTGCAGCCCTGCTCCCTGTGCAACAGGTGCCCCTTGTCCTTTCAGGTTTTCCCGTGGTGCTGCTGAGGAACCTGCGGCACCCCGTGTACCTGCTGGTGGTGCTGGCTCAGGTCAACATCTCTGCCATGGTTGCTGGATTAGCAACCTTCATGGGCAAGTTCCTGGAGAGACAGTTCTCCCTCACAGCCTCCCTGGCCAACATGATCATTGGTAAGTGGTGCTGAGCTTTTGATTCCTTAAAAAACCATCTAGAAATCAGGAGAAGTTTGTCTAGAGTAAAGCCTCCCTCTCAGAGAGTTCAGAGATCCTGCCACAGAAGTGTTTAAAACACATTTTTGAGCAAACAGCACCTCAGGGAAGGAGGCCTCTGAGGTCTGCGACAGATAAATCAGAACAAAGTGAGCAGAGCAGAGTGGCAGGGCCAGGGCTGAATGCAGCAGCAAGGTTAAACGCTGAAGCAGTGCTGTCCTGCCCCAGGTGCCCAGCTGAGCTGCTCCCAGCCTTGATTTACCCTCTGCATTCCAGTCAGCACCGTGTTCCGTAGATGAATTTATCTGGCCTTTGTTCTCACCACTCAGTCTCGCTTGGCCTTTTTCTTTCAGATCAAAAAGCTTTCTGTAGCTGGAAATTCCTTCCTTGCGTGGGTATTGAGGGGCTGAAAGCAACCTCCCCGTGGATTCTTAGCTGAATTGAACAGTTTGCATGTCTCTAGATGAACTTTGGGCTCCCCCCTGCAAAGAATGGGAGGTTTTATGTAAATGGAGTTTTATGTAAATGGGGTTTTATATAAATGGGGTTTCACAAGGGTGACCACAGAAATGGGCACAATCCTGCTCTGCACAGAAATTAAACATCCTCCCAGGCTGCCTTGGTGCTTCTTCCTGTCAACACTAAAAAAATCACATTTTGCTGCGTGAGGCACAGATTTCCACTGCTCCTGACAGCTTCCACCCATGGATCCATAAGGCAGCCAGTTTGCTGTGGGATCCTTTTGGAAAGCAGCATTTTCCTAGCATTATTCCACCAGTCCCTGCAAAAACCTTGGTCCCTTCTGAACCCCCTGTGCTGAAAAATAGCAACCCAACAGCAAATCCTCTGGGCCTTTGCTGTGAGAAGGACTGGCACAGACCAGAGATGGAAAGCAAGGTACAGTGATAGGACAAAGGGGAATGGCTTTAGATGGGGTGTTAGGAGGGAATTGTTCCCTGGAACAGTGGGCAGGCCCTGGCACAGCGTGCCCAGAGAAGCTGTGGCTGCCCCTGGATCCCTGGAAGTGTCCCAGGCCAGGCTGGATGGCTTGGAGCAGCCTGGGATGGTGGAAGGGGGTGATGCTGAAGGTTCCCTGATTGCACGCCTGCCTTTCCCAGGTGCTGTGAACATCCCCGGGGCCATGGTCGGGATCGTGGTGGGCGGTGCCATCCTGAAGCGGTTCCAGGTGTCCCTGAGGCAGTGCAGTGCCCTGTGTGTGCTGGGCATGCTGCTCTGCCTGCTCACCGCCTTCCCCCTGCTCTTCCTGGGCTGCCCCACGCAGAAGGTGGCGGGTGTCACCCACTGGGACAGGTACCACGCTCCTGGGCTGGGCACAGGGTGGGTACACCCCAGCCACAGGCACATTCCTGGGGGTGGGAGCCAAGCAGAACCCCCAGAAATGGGTTTATTCCCTCAGGAGGAGCAGCTAGTAAAGGTAAACTAAGAAAATCTGAGTCTGCTGTGACCTCAGGTTTAGGGCAGAAAATGTACAGCTCGCCTTCGTGACTTATCCCACACGTGGTGGATATGTGGGATTCCACTCCACACATGGAGTCATTTCAGCTTTATCTCCTATGGGTTAAAACCTTTTTAACACGAGATTTTTTAGGAGAAGGGTTGTAAGGGTTCCACCAGTGAGATTTCCTACTGAGGAGCAAGCGTGGAACCCAAAGTAAACACATTTTTGGCACAAACAGCACAACTTCTCATCTTGGGAAGCGTGGTGGATGATGAATTCAGGCAGGGGCCAGCCTGGGATCACACCATCCAAATGTGGGCAGGAGCTCCTCGTGTGCCCTCGAGGCTGGATCCAGGTCTCTGAATTCCCTGTTCAGTGTCCTGTGGTCCAGGCCCTCAGGGGGATCCTCCCTCCTCCCACAGCGTGGTGTTGTAAGAACCCCAAAGGACAGGTTTGGGACCAAGAATGAGGGCAGTGAGTGGCTCTGGTGCCCAGGGGTGGTTGGAAGCTCTGCCAGGCAGGGCAGAGGTTGGGTGATGGTGGAAGCAGTGGGTGGCTCTGGTGCCCAGGGTTTTGGGAAGCTCTGCCAGGCAGGGCAGAGGTTGGGGTGATGGTGGAAGCAGTGGGTGGCTCTGGTGCCCAGGGGTTTTGGGAAGCTCTGCCAGGCAGGGCAGAGGTTGGGGTGATGGTGGGATTCCCGTGGGGAAGGGCTCCTTGTGCAGCCAGGTGGGTTTTGCTGACCCCAGCACGCACACAGTCAGTTTTCCCTGTGAGCTGCCCGTGGGTGCTGCTCCCTGCCGGCATTAACCCTTTCCTGGGCGCAGCTCTGGCTCTGGCCACCCCGCCACGGCGTGCAACGCGCGGTGCCGCTGCCCCGAGAGCGGCTTCAACCCCGTGTGCGGCTCCGACGGCGTGGAGTACACGTCCCCCTGCTCTGCTGGCTGCAGCAGCGTGGCCCTGCGCCCCGACAGCTCCGTCCTGGTGAGTCACAGCTGGCCACAGCTGCCCCGAGCGGCTGCGTCACAGGGAATTGAGTGTGAGGTCGCAGTGCAGGGCTTTGCCCCTGCTTTGCCCTGCTGCTCTCGGGCCTGCAGGCAGAGCAGCTGGCAGAGCACCTGAGCAAGGCTTTGCCTCTCAAACCCGACCTGCGGGGCGCTAGCAGCCCGTGCAGGATGAGTGCCTTTGCTGCACTCTGGGCACAGGGTGTGATGGCAGCGGGGAGCTGTCTGGGCAGTTTGCAGCAGCGTTTTGTTAATTAGCAGCGCTTCATTTTGATAACAGTTGTGCTTTCTGCCAGAGCTCAGTCCCCAAATGTGCTTTCCTGCAGCCCCACGCCTGCCTTGTGTACAGCAGATCCTTTCCAACTGCTTTTTTCCTCCTCGGCCATGCCTCTCTCTTCCAGCCCTTGCTTTCTTGGAAACTTTACACTTTTCTTACCACTTTCAGCAGTACAGGGACCTGTGGCACTCATTGCCTCCTGCCTTCCCTGTCCCAGGGTTTCCAGGAACCCTCCCAGCCAGCAGAAAACCCTGCAGCTGTGTGCCCAGCTTTGCTGCAGCCCTTCCAGAGGGCACCATGTAAGCGTGGATGTAGGAACCATGTTCTGGGAGACCCTGAGCTGCCCCTGCCTCTGGGATCACTCTTCTGCAAACTCCCACCCTGTGACAACCAAAAGATCGTGCTCATTTTATCTCAAGGTCTCTTTAAAACAAAAAAAAAAAAAACCCCAAACAACCCAGGGGTTTCTTGTTCAAAACTGAAAAAAAAGAGAGAATTGTGACTAAAAAATAGAAAAATGGAGAAATTCCTCATCCATCACCCCAAGGCATCATTCCCTTGCTATAAGGCTGTGCTAGATATTCATGAGCCTCTCTCAAAGGTGAGGTTTTACACGTTTGATTTAACACTCCCTGAGCTGTGGCTGCAGCTCTGCCTGGGATGCAGAGGCTCGCAGCAGGACAGCGCCTGGCACAGGTGGCACAGCCACCCTCACAGCCAGGAATTCCCCCCCAGTATCCCATCCATCCGTGCCCTCTGGCAGTGGAAGCCATTCCCTCATCCCCAGTCCCTCTCCAGCTCTGCTGGAGCCCCTGCCATGGCTCCGAGCTCTCCCCAAAGTACTGCGTGCTAATTCCCGCTAATTATTCCCAGACAAATCCTACCTCCTCTCCCTCGCTCCGGCGGCTGGCAGCGTTCCCTTCCATCTGCCCGTCCCCGGGCCCGCGAGCAGCCTCTGGATGTGGTCTCCTCTTTGCAGAACTACACCGGCTGCAGCTGCCTTGGGGCGCCGGGAGCGGCGGGCGTCGCCAGGCCGGGCACCTGCGGCGCCGGCTGCTCCCACCTCTTCGTGCCCTTCGTGGTGCTCTCCTGCCTGGCAGGCATCCTGGCCAGCACCTCCCACACGCCGTCCTTCATGCTCATCCTGAGGTGGGCACACCTGGGCAGCCACAGAGGGGATCTGTGGGGCAGGGGGAAGGATTTCTCCAGCTGCCAGACTGGGGGTGAAACCAGCCCTGGATGGGGGTGAAACCAGCCCTGGATGGGGGTGAAACCAGCCCTGGATGGGGATTAAACCAGCCCTGGATTGGGATTAAACCAGCCCTGGATGGGGATTAAACCAGCCCTGGATGGGGGTGAAACCAGCCCTGGATGGGAGTTAAACCAGTCCTGGATGGAGGTGATACCAGCACTGCCTGGGGGTTAAACCAGCCCTGGATGGGGGTTAAACCAGCCCCAGATTGCAGGTGGCAGCAGGATGGAGCCAGCCGAGGTGGCAGCCCAGGCTGGTGGGGCTGGTCCCCAGGATGGCTAAAGCTGAGGCAGAGGGGAGAGCCGTGGGGGAATCTCTGTCTTAGTCTGTAAATGATACTTTCAAGCTCTTCCTCGGCCTGGCAGGATTTTGAGGCCAAGAAAAGGCCATGGGCAGTGCTCAGCCCTAATGAATGAACCCTCATCAGCTTTGGTGATGTGAATGGGAACTCCCTGGGATGCTTGGTGGCTGGGTTGAAGGACGAGTGTGTGGGTGAGGTGCTGTGCCAGGGAGGGAAGCATCCATCCTGGAGGGATTGCCAGAGGGCATTTTGTTCCATTTTGTTTTTCAGGAGCATCCAGCCTGAAGACAAATCATTTGCTGTTGGCATACAGTTCATGCTGCTGAGAGTTTTAGGTAAATTGAAGTGTGTTAAAACACCCTCCTGGAAAATGATGGCAGCTCTTGGAGAGGGCTTCCCCAGGGCAAGGAGAGATGCTGCCCTGCAGGGTCTGGGGGCACGTGGCAGGGATGAGACAAGGCAGCTCCAAGGGCTCCATCCCTGGTCCCTGGGGCCGTGGTTTTGGGGTGGCTGTGACACCTGGGGCCTGTTTTCGGGGTGGCTGTGCCCCGGTCCATGGTTTCGGGGTGGCTGTGCCCTGGGTCCATGGTTTCAGTGGCTGTGCCCCGGGTCCATGGTTTTGGGTGGCTGTGCCCCTGGTCCATTGTTTCAGGGTGGCTGTGCCTGGGTCCATGGTTTCGGGTGGCCGTGCCCGGGTCCATGGTTTTGGGTGGCTGTGCCCCGGGTCCATGGTTTAGGGGTTGGCTGTGCCCTGGGTCCATGGTTTTGGGTGGCTGTGCCCTGGGTCCATGGTTTCGGGGTGGCCGTGCCTGGGTCCATGGTTTCGGGTGGCTGTGCCCCGGGTCCATGGTTTCAGGGGGCCGTGCCCGGGTGCCTGGTTTTGGGGGGCCATGGTTTTGGGTGGCCGTGCCCTGGGTCCATGGTTTCGGGTGTCTGTGCCCGGGTCCATGGTTTTGGGTGGCTGTGCCCCTGGTCCATGGTTTTGGGTGGCTGTACCCCAGGTCCATGGTTTCAGGGTGTCTGTGCCCGGGTCCATGGTTTCGGGGTGGCCGTGCCCAGGTCCATGGTTTCGGGGTGTCTGTGCCCCTAGTCCATGGTTTCAGGTGGCCGTGCCCAGGTCCATGGTTTCGGGTGGCCGTGCCCTGGGTCCATGGTTTCGGGGTGTCTGTGCCCGGGTCCATGGTTTCGGGGTGCCTGTTTCGGGTGCCTGTTCCGGGCGGGCCGGGCTGACGCTGTGCCTGTTGCAGCGTGGATGCCGGGCCCGGTGCTGTACGGCAGCGCCATCGACACCAGCTGCGTGCTGTGGGAGAGGAGGTGTGAGCGCAGGGCAGCCTGCAGATACTACGACAATACCCTCTTCAGGCACAGGTAGGGAGGACACCGGGACAATCCCCTGTGCCAAGCACCGGGAACACCCAGGGACGCTCCCTTCCCCTGGGCCGTGCAGCCGGGGGGCCGCGGAGGGTCACTCCAGGACAGCTCCCTGCCTGGAGCAGCCTCCCCATAGTCCTAGCATAGTCCCAGGGGTGCTGCTTGGAGCGCTCAGGAGCATCCCTGCTGCCCTGACCTGCTGTGCCTGTGCCCCACAGGTATCTGGGGCTGCAGTTCTTCTTCGAGGTGGGCGCCTTCCTGTGCTTCGGGGCCGTGTATCTGATCCTCAGGAAGCAGGAGAGGGAAGCCAGCCAGGCAGAGGAGACAAAGGCCGAGCCAGAGAAGGAGAAACTGGCAGGAAGGTCCACAAAGAGCCCGGAATCCAAAGTGTGACAGTGAAATGTGGATCGTGATCCGTGCTGGGGAGGTGAATCAGCCCACAGCCGAGCTGGGCAGGGTGGATGCTTGGAGTGATGGACCCGGGGCTGCTTCCTGCTCTCTCGGCTGGGATGGACTCTTCCTGCACTGCATGGATCCATCCACACGTTGTTCTCCTCAGGGGTGCAGCTTGTCCCTCCACATGGATTAGTCCTCACTCTTTAACCCGTGGACTCTGCAGCCTCCTGGGTTTGTGTCCTGCAAAGCAGTTTTTCCTGCTGACCGTCTCGGGATGCCAGCACTGAACAGTAACCATAAATCTGAAGGGTTCTGTGGAGTGGTTTTTTTTTAAATAAATCATTTTTAAGAAATGGTTTTGTACTGAACCCGCAGATCTCTGTGACTGATGTTTATAATTCTTATTTTCTGTGTTATCAGCACTGACTTTCTGATGGTCAGTGCTTGAAGCACGTGGGAGTTCAGGCGTATTCCTGGTTTGCAGTTCAAGAAGGACAGAACTTTTCCCAGGGCTGCAGGATCAGAGGACGAGGTTGGAGCCCTCTCCAGACTGGGTAGAGCTTGTGGCCAAACCATCTGAGCCCAGCACCAGGCAGCCCTGGGCTCCCTGAAGGGGGTTCTGTCTGTAATTATGGGGTGGAAGTCCAGCCTGGCGCTATTTTGGTTCAGCTGCCTCTATTTCTCACATTCTTCCCATCCTGGGGCTCCTTCCCACCCAGCAGTGAATTGTGTTACCCAGCCACAGCCACTGGGTAACTTTGTCATTTTTGGCTACAGGATGGAATTTAGTAGAGAAAACAAAACTTGTAAGTTCAAATATGCAGAAAAGAAATACACAGAGGGGAAAACTCATTCCCTCCTCCCACCCTGGCAGATATCCTCTGGGAAGGGCGGGGTGTGCAGAGAAGTAAAAGGGAAAAAGACTGTGGTGAAGTGACTGAATTTAGCAATTTCCCCAAACTGTTTCCCTGGCCATTCTGAGGGACCCAGTTACCTCAGTGCGGACTGGGAGGTGGATTGGAATTTTTTAGGGGTTTGGTTTGGGGTGTTTTTCCTATTTTTGTGCAGTGCCTTGTGTTCACTGAGCTGAGAGTTTACAGCCCTGCTCAGGGTACCAAGAAGTGATGTCTGGCTTCAGAGAAGGTTCTGGAAGGCAGAGGAGTGCGTGGATGTTGCAGGGGTGTAGGTGCAGCCATCCAGGGAAGGACGAGTAGCATTTGCTGACCACCACCTTTAGAAAGCCAAAACTGGGAGACTTTTGCTCTGTCCTCTTTTCCAAAGCCCTGCCAGGCAGCATCTGTTGCTAGAGCAGCAGGAGAGGGATGGGACGAGGTTCTTTGGGCAGGAGCAGGGAGGAGATGGGTCGTTCCAGCCTCTGGCAGCCCAGGAATCTGTGGCATCCTCGGAGAAGAAGGTTCTTTCCTGGCTGAGCACAAGCCTTGGCTCCCGGGCACTGTCCTGCTGTGCTCAGCTGAGGCCCAAGTACTCCAAGGTACTTTCCACACCACAACAAACAAACAGCAGCACAATTTGCTCCAGTGGCGTGGGAAGTGGGGAGCTGCAGTGTGCTTTGCCAGGAATCTGACACCGATTCCATTCTTTGCCCATGGAAGTGTGCAAGCCCAGGCTGGATGGGACTTGGAGCAAGCTGGGGTAGTGGGAGGTGTCCTTGCCCATGGCAGCGGGTGGAATGGGATGAGCTTTAAGGCCTTTCCAACCCAAACCATTCCATGGTTCTCTCCCCCATCCCACTGGAGCCCCTCAGGGCTGTGCAGCCCTTCTGAGAGCCCCTCAAGCCACTGAAAGCAGTGGTTCCATTTACAGAAAGCAGGGGGAAAGGAGATAACTAGACCCTTTCCCAAAATGAACAGGGAGTTTAACTGCCTGTGGTGCTGCTGCAGGTGGCAGGCAGGCTGCAGATCCCTGTGCTGCCTGGTTGGGATCCTGAGGGATGCACAAGGGGCCTGCAGGATGGCCTGGCCAGCTCGCTGCCAGCCCCTGGGCTCAGGGCTGCACGTTCATTCTCCATTGGAAAGCTCCCATCACACCACAGAAAGGTCTGGTTCAGGCAATGCATGGGCTGGCACAGCCCAAATTCTTCCTTCCCTCATTACCCCTCCAGCAAAGGACAGGTCCCTGTGGATAAACATCCAAAGCACCTGCAAGCTGTCTTAGCTCTAGGCTTGTTACTTTGCTTTTGCTCTGGTAGTTTCCATCCATTTGGGCTGGAGTTTCTAAAAAGAGAAATAAACCCCATTTCCCCATCCCCTCCCCTGTGCTCTTTAAGAACACGGTTGAAAGGGACTGGCTTGCAAGGGAAGATGAAAGAGAGGCACTTTGGAAAGGCTGCTCCCACAAAGCCCAGGGAATATGAAAGGGCTGGCAGCAGCGAGGGAGCAGCAGGTCGTTCCAGCCTCTGGCAGCCCAGGAATCTGTGGCATCCTCGGAGAAGAAGGTTCTTTCCTGGCTGAGCACAAGCCTTGGCTCCCGGGCGCTGTCCTGCTGTGCTCAGCTGAGGCCCAAGTACTCCAAGGTACTTTCCACACCACAACAAACAAACAGCAGCACAATTTGCTCCAGTGGCGTGGGAAGTGGGGAGCTGCAGTGTGCTTTGCCAGGAATCTGACACCGATTCCATTCTTTGCCCGTGGAAGTGTGCAAGCCCAGGCTGGACGGGACTTGGAGCAAGCTGGGGTAGTGGGAGGTGTCCTTGCCCATGGCAGCGGGTGGAATGGGATGAGCTTTAAGGCCTTTCCAACCCAAACCATTCCATGGTTCTCTCCCCCATCCCACTGGAGCCCCTCAGGGCTGTGCAGCCCTTCTGAGAGCCCCTCAAGCCACTGAAAGCAGTGGTTCCATTTACAGAAAGCAGGGGGAAAGGAGATAACTAGACCCTTTCCCAAAATGAACAGGGAGTTTAACTGCCTGTGGTGCTGCTGCAGGTGGCAGGCAGGCTGCAGATCCCTGTGCTGCCTGGTTGGGATCCTGAGGGATGCACAAGGGGCCTGCAGGATGGCCTGGCCAGCTCGCTGCCAGCCCCTGGGCTCAGGGCTGCACGTTCATTCTCCATTGGAAAGCTCCCATCACACCACAGAAAGGTCTGGTTCAGGCAATGCATGGGCTGGCACAGCCCAAATTCTTCCTTCCCTCATTACCCCTCCAGCAAAGGACAGGTCCCTGTGGATAAACATCCAAAGCACCTGCAAGCTGTCTTAGCTCTAGGCTTGTTACTCTGCTTTTGCTCTGGTAGTTTCCATCCATTTGGGCTGGAGTTTCTAAAAAGAGAAATAAACCCCATTTCCCCATCCCCTCCCCTGTGCTCTTTAAGAACACGGTTGAAAGGGACTGGCTTGCAAGGGAAGATGAAAGAGAGGCACTTTGGAAAGGCTGCTCCCACAAAGCCCAGGGAATATGAAAGGGCTGGCAGCAGCGAGGGAGCAGCAGGAGCAGTGCTTGATGCAGGGCAAGGGGCAGGCAGGTAGGAGGGCTGCACAGAAAGGAAGAAAAGGAAAGGGCAGCAGCAGCAAAATCCACCCTGCGCTGTTTGCCGGCTTCTCCCCAGAGGAGATCTCCCCTGCAGACGGCCTGAAGCAGAATTTACAGAGCTCTGAAGGTACAGCTTGGGCACCAGCCAGGAATTGCATTGGGGGGGTCACCAGGAGCTAACCCAGCTGGGCCAGAGCTCCGTGGACTTCCTGGAACTGCAGCACTGGATGTTTTCAAGCAGCACTTTGTGGTACCAGGGGTCACAGACCTGGAGGCAGAGCAGTGCCTTTAGGGCTGGTGAGAATTGCCCAGGGTCAAGAGAAGGAATTAGAACTGGAGGGAAGGACCCACAGCACTCACAGAGCCAAGAGCTGCTTTAGAGCCGAGCACAGCTCCCGTTCCTCTGGAAAAAGAGCAAAGCTGAACCTTTAAATGACCCTCGGTGTGTCCAGCTCAGCCAGATCTCCCCCTGGCCACTGCTGCAGCCAGACCCACAGGGTTTCTCCTGCTTCGCTGCTGGTTTTCCAAGGGATAGGGACAGTCCCAGGTGGATTCAGTGGCTGTTTGCAGGGGGCCAGCAAAACACCAATCAAAACCCACTGGATGTTTCTCTTAAAACTCACTGGAGCTGCCTCTGGCAGCCTGAAATCTGCTCCCAGGAAATGCTGGCTGAGGAGACACAGTTTGCAGGCACAAGACAGAGAATTGCTGTGGCTGGGACTGAGGCAGAGCTGTGGGTGGAATGCAGCCCCCAGGCTGGGGAAGAGGAAGGCAAACAACTGTAGATGTTACACTGAAGTTCAGGAAAACCTGGGAAGTTCCCAGAGGAACACTGAGAAGACGAGCCAAGGAATCACTGAAATGCTACCAATTAAAACCACAATTCCCAGAAACTGGAGGTTTCCAGGGATCTCAGAAGGGGAAAACAGAGCAATCAGGCAGATCCAGACCCAGCCCAGCGCTGGTCCCTGGAAAGATGCTGAAGAGGTGACTCAGTCACTTGGATGAGGGTGTCGTGGATTGTCTCACACAGAGCACAGCAAACGTTTCATTTCTCCTTCAGGCAGGCACCTGCCCCACCTGTGGAAGCTTCCTTCCTGACTGAAGGAAGGATTTTGACCCCGTCCCACCTTGTTCCCATAAACCAATTACCAGCCAGATGGAGTTGTGCAGAGAGGAGAAAAAGAGGAGAAAAACAGGCTTAATTGGAAAGCTTCAGCTCCAGAAGCTGCAGGTAGTTTGCTGCCTGCCCAAAAGGATTTATCTACAAGAATCTCACCAGGGTCTGTCCTGTCTCTAGGACTAATCAATATTTTAATTAATTACTTGGACGATGAGAGAAGCAGGAGCTAATAAAATTTCTGCTTACGGTCGTGAGTGCTTTGGACTGGAATCCAAATCATTCAGAGCAGATTGGAGAAATGGTGTGAAATGGATAGTACTGGGATTTACAAGAGCAAAACAGTGGTGCAGGGGAAGGAGGGCTGGGGTGCAAAGCTTGCTCTGTGAGAAAGGGGATGTGGCAGCAGCTCCTAATGGGGCAGAAGAGTTTTGGGCTCATATTGTCCCTTTAAATTAAATTGGCATTCTCCACAATTCTCTGGCTGTCCTGTGAGGGGGAGATACGACCCCTTGCACTTGGAGGCATAAAATTATCTCCCCATGCTGCTGAATTGAGTGAGTTTCCCTGCTTGTTGCCAAGTGCATCTCCTCCAGCTGTGCCCTCTCGAAGGTCCAAGCAAACAGAGCAGAGTAAATCAGGAATTATCTCCTCTGCTTAGAGACAGGTTGAGTAATGATTACTCCTGAAATATGGAATTCATCTTTGGGGCTTAATGGACTTGCAGTGGAGCTGCAGGAGCTAGCTGCTGAGGGTTC